GCGCGGGCGGCCCCGCGGGCGCAGGTCTCGCTCATCAGCACGTCGTTCGTGCTCAAGGGGGACGCGACGCACAACCAGGCGATGGTGCACTGGACGGGCGAGAACAGCAGCGTAAGTGACCCCCGGACGCCCCGGGAACACCGCCACGGCCCCCGCTTCCACACACCCCGATCTTGGCGATCTGGGGATGCGGGTTCTCTAGGCTGGCCTCTGGTCACTCTTACTTGGGGAACCATCCCCAGATACTGTGAGTCGCTGTATCGCTCCGGGCCAGATGCATACATTTTGGGACCCTGAGCCGCCTTGGGGGTGTCCCTCACACCTCGGGTTACCCCGGGCAGTCCTCTGAGGTTGGAAGACCTCAGCCAGGGCATGTGCCTCCAGGTGCTTGAGGACCCCCCAGCCCAGGGGTCACGGTCGCCCCCACATTCATTCCTGGGTCAGCTCGGCAGCACCTCCGGGACTTCGGCTCAGGGATCTTCCTCACCTCGCCGGTGTGGGGACCCTATGGATCCCAGGACTGCCCTGGTCAGCTCCTTGTGCTGCTCTGGGGCTCCATTCCGGGGTGACGCTTCCCTGTGGGCCTGTCTGCCGTACCCCTCTGACCTGGTAGGTGGTGGGGCTGCAAACTCCCCGCCCTCCCCCATTCCGTCTTCCACTCCGCCTTCCTGTTGCTGGAAGTCCTTCTCCCTTCACCAGGGGATGGGGATGGGGGGCCCCTTCCCAGGCTTCCTGGGAGCTGCCTCAGCCCTGCTTTCCTGGTGAGAGTGCAGTAGCCCTGCCGGGATCATCCCTGGGCAGCCCCTGCTGGGTCCTCTTCAGTTTTGCGAGTTTGGGGGAAGGGGCAGGCCACTGTGACCCACTGCTTTCCCCCACGCCCCTGCTCTGATGTCCACTGTGTCTCCACCGTGCTCCTGCTCCCTGAAGCTGCAGGAGGCAGCACAGGTCCCTGCGTGCATGGTGGTGGAGTGGGCCGGATCTGTGTGTTCAGCTCTGTGGCTGGGATGGGACGGGTAGGGCTTTCCCCGTCTCCTGTCTCAGCACCCTGGGCCACTCCAGGGCCTTCCATCTGGCTGGAGAAGGGATGGGATGCTGCAGGGACATGTTGGGGCCAGCATGGTGCTGAGTGGACTTGGTTGGCCAGGAGCCCAGTGTCCTGCAGGCCCCCTCCCCCTCCAGCTGGTGGCTGCTGGGGTGCTGGTGCCAGGCCTCTGGTTGAGGTCATTTCTGCCACCTTGGGTTAGACTAGCAGCTGGCAGGGGGCAGGGGGCCAGTAGGGGGCAGTCAGGATGTCAACTGGGGGTCCCTCCCTGGAAGAGCTGGGGGCGCCCTCCCCTCCTCATCTGACTTAAGGGTCAGACCCCAGGTGTGCAGCCGGCCCGGCCCCACAGAACTCACTGGAGTTGTGGACACACCGTTCCCTTCATCGTGAGCCACACCTCAGGGCACAAGGGTGCTGGAAAACCAAGAACCCAGAGGAGCAAATGAACATTACAGTAAATTCCGTGGGTCTGAAAATATCTTCCCCTACCCCTCTGTGCTGAGGTCATCGCCCAGCAGCTTACTTCTGTCCTTTTTTCATTTGGCCTCTTGGGGGTGTGTGAAAGGAGAGCCAGACCGTGGTGGGCAGAGCCCTAGGAAATGGGGACCAGCTGCCTTCAGGACAGATGATGCCCAGTGCGACCCCTTTCTGAGCTCAGATCTGGCACTGGGCAGCCTCCTTGGAGAGGGCTGGGGAGGACATTGGCCCGTGGGCTGGGTGCCAGGTCGGGAGGCGAGCCCTGGCCGGTCTCCCCCAGGACAGTGGTGAGCTGAGGGCTTCCCAGGTTGTTTCCTGGCTGCTGGCAGGTGAGAGGGTGTAAGTAGGAGGTGAGTGTGGGGAACCACACCACCTCTTTCTTAGTGGGGGCAGGAGGTCCAAGGAACTGGAGAGGTCTTTGAGGGACCGTCTCCTGCCATCAGGGGACGGCAAGGGCTCTGGAACCATGGTGCTCAGCCTGCTCTTAGCAGACACACAGGAGGCAAAACAACCTCGTGACCATTAGCTGGCTCTGGGGTCCAGGGAAAGGGAACAGGTCCAAATGCTGGCCCAGGAATTTGGCTGGAGCTCTTCCCTGTTCCTACTGCCCCACTTGCCCTGCCCTGGGTGGTCGGAAAATTGGGGTCCACTTGAGAAAAACGGGGAAGCAGGCAATGCTTTCAGTCTCGCTAGCTGGAGAAAACTAAGGTGGTGGAGGAGGAGTGGGGGGGTGAGGGCGAGGGCCAGGAGCTGCCTGCAAGCGCTGTGCCTTTAAATTGTTGTTTCCTGCATGTGGCTGCATGCATAGCAGGCCTTCCTTGGCACATGAGGTGTCTTGGAAATGTACTTCAAGCCTTGCACTCTCTCCTCACAGCCACAGGCTCTGAGATTCTCCTCCGCTTGAAAGCACCGTCTTTGAAAGCTACATCAGGAAAGGAACAAACTTGAGGCCTCTTTCCTGAGCAGAGTCTTTACAGAATTTCATCTCTGCCACTTTGATTGCCACTGCCGCCTGCACACTCAGTCAACAAGAGCAGAGAGAGTTTACCAAATGGAGTCAGATGTCTTTCAGAATAATAAAAGAAAAGCATCTGAGGAGGGGAGTTTTGCAAATGACATTTTGAGTATCTGGTGAAGAGGGGTTGTAGGATGCAAGCTGGCTTGGAGACGTCCCCATCCGTGGAGCTCTGGGACATATGTGAGTCCTCCTCGCAGTGGCTTGATTCTTCCTGCTCCCATGGAGACGTGGAAGGGGACTCGCTCGGAAGTTCAAACACTGCCTCTCTGTCTGCCGTTTAGCTGTGGAAAAAAAATTGTTATATGGGAAATTAATGTTTCATTGAAACCAACCCGCATTAGGGTTTTACAGACCCAGATTGGGCTGTGCACAGACGACTCCAGGCTTGCGTTTCCGGGAGGCGGCGGTGTTATTTAGAGGCGAATAAATGTTCCAGAGCTCTGGTCTTTGCCTCTGGCTTGTGGTTTCATGTTACTTTGTTGGGAAGCGTGCTTCCTGACCTGGTTGCCGCAGTTCTGGGAAGCACAGCCCACCTCGTACCTTTCCTTGAACTTCAAGTTTGACACCTTGTTTGTTTGGCCACGATTGTCCGGCAGCCGAAGCCGCCCCTGCCCCTGTCCTGGGCACATTGGCACTTCCTTCTCCTTTCTCCTGCCCCTCCTTGGTTTCCACACCTGCCCAGTGGGGTTGTGGAGGGGACTTGCTCGCAGAGCATCCTGAGCAGATGAACCACTCTGAGGTCCTGATAAGCCCAGGCTTTGTGTGTATTTTAACCCAAAGAAGCTGGGGATGTAGCTCAGTGGTTCCATCGCCTGCTGCACAAGCATAAGGTCCCGAGTTCGATCCCTGGTACCAAAAAACAAAAACCCAGAGAGCTGGAGCTGCAGCGAGCTTGTGTGAAAGTGGGCCGCCCTTGCACCTGCCGCGCCCAGGTTCCTGGAGGGCAGGTGCCCTGGATGCCAGGGTTGCCGTCATAGGACCAAGGCTGGTGGCCAGGCTGGGTGGCCTGAACCTTGTCTCCTAGAGTCTGGAAGTCACAGGAGCTCAGGGCTGGCTCTGCCTCCACCCGCTCTCCTGGCTTGTAGGTGGCATCTTCCCTGTCCTCACACGTTCATCCCTCTATGTGTGCCATGTCCTGTCCACCCTTCTTATAAGGACACTTGGATTAAGGCCCACCGTGCTGACCTCGTTTTTAACTTACCCATTTGAAAGGCCATACCTGCAGGTGGAGTCAGTTCAAAGGTCCTGGGGTAAGGACTTCGAAATATGGATGTAACATGTGATCAGTGTATGAGGGGAAAGAGGGGACACAGCTCAGTCTCTTAAGAGCAGGGAGAGGGGCTTACATACCTTTGCACCCCGAGCTTAGCCTGGGGAGCTCAGAGTGAGAGAGGGGAGGTGGACATGAGCAGCGGGTGTCACCTTCCCCGTGATACTTATGGGGACGCCAGGGAAGGCTGCATGGAAGAGGTGGCCTCGGCTGCATCAAGAATGAGTGGAATGCGTGGCAGGTGGGGTGGGCACTGCTGCAGGACGAGCCCAGGAGGTGAGCCTGGGGGCAGGACCTGGGGTACAGGGGCATCAGGGCAGCAGTGGGACAGCTCAGCGCAGCAGCTCAAAGGGACCCTGGCTGCGGCTGTGAGGGGCGGAGGTGCACTTCGGAGCCAGCTTGCCTGGTTTGTGTCCTGGCGCTCGCCCCTTCTGGCTCCGGGCAGTGGGGGCTTCTCAGCGTCCGTTGCTTGGACAGGGAGGGGTGAAGGCTCGGAGCAGCCGTGCTGATTGCTGGCGAGCACGTAGACTGAGCCTGGTGTCCGCAGGAGCTCAGGCAGGGCGCTGAGGGTTGCCAGGCTGCGAGGGCTTGTGGAGGGGAAGTAAGGCGGCCTCCAGTGGGGATGGACAGGTGAGTGGCTGGCGCTGCCCTGTCGGCCTCTTACTTTCCCAGCCATGCTGGGCATCCAGATGCCAAGATGACAGAGCTGAGCTGCAGCTGGCATCGCTGGCTCCATTCCCCGTAGAGGTAGGCTTGGCGGTGGCAGGGCTCCGGGCTTCCCTCTCAGGCTGTGAAACTTCCTGCCTGCTGTTTTGGAATCCAGGCCACTGCCAAGCCATCCCCAGCGTTTGGGGGTGGATTGGGTTGGGGCGAGGTCCGGCTCACCAGTCAGTTGTGAGAGGTGCGCTTGTCCCGATGAAGGGCCTCTAACCCTGGCAGCCGTCATCAAGGTGTCCAGCGGCCACCGGAGCCGACAGAGGCAGACAGGGGTCAGGGCGCACGCCGAGTATCTGTCACACTTGTTGTCAGGAGCCGGCTGCTAGCGTGCAAGCCGTGGGGCCCGGGGCCTGCTGTCTGGCTGAAGAAAATGGGAGCACGCCTATTGCCGTGGGACAGGTGACCGGGATGGAACTGGGCGGTGCCTAGGGAGGTCTCAGTGAGCAAACCTGGGGCTCATGCTCCGGCTGCTGGCCAGTGCCATGGTGAGCGGGCCCTCTGCAACTCAGAGCGATGGCTGAGACCCCCCAACTCCGGCAACTCCAGCAGAGAGGAGGAGGAGGGAGGGCTCCGGAGGAAGCTGATGA